ATCCAAAATGCCAGAAATGTTCTATATTTTGTCAACTTCATTGTTTACAAATATCAAGTTCCATTATCATAGTTTTGAGAACTCTGAAGTTTCTGAAGTATTGCACATTCCTTCCTAACTGACCAGTCCAAGATGTTCAGGTTATTATAAGTAGAACCGATGGGAGACCTGTCACCCTTTCTGTCTGCTGGGCACAAAATTGAAGTTTTTAGTTGTTCTGAATTTTAAAAAAATGCTTCTGAATATACATGTAGTAGTCATTAGACATAAAGAATTATTGAAAATTGACACAAAACCTTGAATTTTATATTTGTTGGAATCTGTTGTAAGCTATCTTTGCTAGCCAAGGGTTTCTGACACAATATGCACCTCATGAAAAGAGTAGCTTTTCAGAAACCCTTGGCTAGCGAAGCTGGTTGTAAGCTGTTCATTTTTAGAATGTGAATACATATAGTTAAGAGCCATTCTCTGTAATGATTTGAAATTTTATATAGGAGCTGTGGCACGCATAGTCTCAGAATTTCTCCAAACTCTCTATGATAAAAGTCATTGATACCCTAAACTGAAATCAGGCAAAAATTGGTTGCTATGCTTTATAGTTACCATGGCAACATATCTTAAAGTTCGAAAAATGGCATATTTTAACATGTTTAGAGCCCCATAGTTAACATTTGCGGCAAAGCAAACAATTGGCAATGACTGTTTCCAAAAGTTGAAGGTCAGATGTCTCCAATGCATGATAAACATGTTTGGTAAATCAACTATTACATACGTTACTATGGTAACAAAGTATTCAAAAGTAAAAAAAAATATTCATTGAATTTTATAAATTCACACACGTAAAAATAAAAAGCAATTATAGGATGAAATGTGACCAAATAATAGAAAAAAGAGCCTTGAAACATATACCAAGAACAAATATGATATTTCGTATTGGTTCGCAATGGTTGCCAAGGTTTTTATACTAAAGAGAGCCTTCAAAGTAACACTCTGTATTTTTAAATCTGATCCTATCTTTTAAAAAAGCACATTTCCCCATAACTAATGATCAATTTTTAAAGATGTTGGTGTGCTCCTAGTTTTCCCATTTGAAAAAATTCAGATTAGATTCTTTAAATAGAGCGTTGCTATGGAAATAAGCAGAAAATATATGCTTTAAAACCTGAAAAATATTTTCTTTCCTTGGATACGTACCCTTAAATGTAGATTCCCAAAACTTTTATGATTGATATTTATTAACAGCTAACCTGACTTTTAATTTTGACTATCATCCAATCTCTAAGTGGATGCAAGAAGTTGGCACACAGGGTTTAATATTGATAAAAAGTTCACAAAATCGAATATTTTCCCTTCTTGGTAACCATAGCAACGGTGTTGTATTCTTCATCAAATTTTATCAATATGTGATATTCAACTTCAGTTCTAACAGATAAGTACTATTCAAGCTGAGTCCTTTAATTTGGTTCTTAAATATATGGCAATTTACTTCTTAATGCAGCGAAAAATAATTCACTTTTAAGCACTGGTACTTTGTTTCCATGGTAACACTGCAAAGTAGCAATTATACCCAATTTATCTCATGTATTTGGTATTGCAAGGTCCTAAGGATGCATATTTGCCAGTCTTGAATTTTTATGTTTTTCCTCAAGAAAGTAGCATTAACCCAATCTTAGTTACTGGTTTTGCATGGTTACACTGTGTTACCATGGCAACCATAAAAGTTATTTATAGAATAATATTGCTTACACTTATATACTTAAGGTCAAACATTTTCATTGTTTTTCTCAAGTCGTTGATTGAGTTTGAGCATGTAACACCTACCATTAGTGAATACGGAGTGTTTTTCAGCATATTTCATCATTTTAAATGTATTCCAAATGTACCTTGGTTACCACTTACTTAGAGATATATTCTAAACAGTTTCTTTACAGTATAAGTGACATCAAGGTGTCATGTTTTTGTGAGAATGGTTTGTTTGCTTTTTCTAGTTTTTATTGAGCCACAGTCAAGAGTTAAAGTGGCTGAAAATCTTGATTTTTCAAACTTTTCCGGCTGTTGCCATAGCAACCGAGACACTTAGCAACGAAATTTTATTTGATATTTGTTTCTGGTGTCAAGTACTATGCATGGGTGAAGTTTCATCAAAATCGGTGACCATGCGTGGCAACGAAGTTCAAGTGGTTACAGAGAATGGCTATTAAATGTTAAGCTTATTGAAACTGTGAGTGATATACATGTACATGTTTGTGTACTTATGTTGCAATTTTTTTATTTATTACCCCCGTTTATATGTTTTACTTCACAGTGTGTGTTGCTGCATGTATTCTAGTGTTATGTCATGCTACAATTCATTTTGAAGTATGGAAAAGTATTAAAAGAATGGTGTAGTCAGTCAGTGTAAAATTCAAAAGAGAAGTATTTTATTATTGCCATTCTATGAAATTTATACCAAAAAGCTACATTGTACATGTATTTCAATTTATTATTTTAATTACATGATGCATGTTTTAATGTATTTATAAACTAAATTAAATATGAAAGCTATGACTTTTCTTTCTTTTGTTTATAACTTTACTGTTCAGCTTGAACTGGAGAATGCTTTGTAGCAGTTGAATTAGCTCAATGATTCGAGAAAGAAGAAAATATGAAAAGTTAACATGTGACACGACAGATTCTATGTAATCAGCAGATCTAGTCTTTGCCAAATACTTATAAAACAAGAGATGTTTGTAAACACTTGTGCCCCCCGAGGCCTCTCCCAAATGACTGAAATTTTTTTTGAGTCCAAGGGACAGAACTCTGTCAAAAATGGCTTGATCGTACTCAAAACAGAGCTTGACCTAGATCTGGATACGGAATTTCAATTCAATATATATGCAACCTCTGCATAGAAAATGAACGCAAACTGCAAATAACTGGAATTTTTCCAAGTTCAAGGGGCATAACTCTATCCGAAATGGCTTGATCTAACCCAAAACAAATATTGACTTAGATATTCTTGTATGTACTCTGTACATGTACATGTATATTAAATTTCATTTCAATATACCTATGCAACCTATGCAAAGAAAATGATCAGAAACTGCAAATAATTGGATTTTTCTTTTAAGTCAAAGGGACATAACTAAATCAAAAATGGCTCAATTATACCCAAAACAGAACTTGACCTAGATATTTTTATGATATAAATCTGTATACCAAATTTCATGTATACAAATGTATACAAAAACTGATGGTGGACTGACAGACCAACCGATCGACAGACAGAAGCAAGGCAATATCCCTCCCTTCTTCATAAGCACTTAAGAGAAGAGAGGCTTGACATGTTCCTCATAAACACTACTGGCCAAAACTGAAACTTCATAATACTGACAATTCTGTCAGTACTTGAAATCATGACAAATGAAGATTTTATGGCTCAATTATACCCAAAACAGAACTTGACCTAGATATTTTTATGATATAAATCTGTATACCAAATTTCATTGCAATATGTGCAACCTATGAACAGAAACTGCAATTTTTCCAAGTCAAAAGGGGCATAACTCTGTTCAAAATGACTCGATCATCCCAAAACAGAACTTGACTTAGATATTCTTATGATAAATCTGTATATTAAATTTCATTTCAATATGTGCAACCTTTGCAAAGAAAATGAACAAGAGGCCCATGGGCCACTTCGCTCACCTGAGAAGCTTTGACCATTCTGTTCTTTACCAGATTTCCCCCTTGTTATACATAATGCATCCCCACCCTACCCCACTGATCATAATTTAGACATTTTGAAATCTACACTACCCCATGATCCTTCCATGGGCACATATGTTTCAGCTTTTTTGGCCCAGTGGTTCCTGAGAAGAAGATTTTCAAAGATTTTTCCTATATATTTCTATGTAAAACTTTGATTCCCTATAATGGCCCCGTCCTTCCCCCGGGGGTCATGATTCCTACAATTTAGTATTTACACTACCCCAGAATGCTTCCACATAAGCTTCACTTTTTCTGGCCCAGTGGTTCTTGAGAAGAAGATTTTCAAAGATTTTTCCTATATATTTCTATATAAAACTTTGATTCCCCATTGTGGCCCCGCCCTTTCCCCGGGGGTCATTATTTGAACAATTTAGAATCTACATTATACTAGGATGCTTCCACATAAGTTTCAGCTTTTCTGGCCCAGTGGTTCATGAGAAGAAGATTTTCAAAGATTTTTCCTATATATTTCTATGTAAAACTTTGATACCCCATTGTGGCCCCGCCCTTCCCCCGGGGGTCATGATGTGAACAATTTAGAATCTACACTATAACAGGATGCTTTCACATAAGTTTCAGATTTTCTGGCCCAGTGGTTCTTGAGAAGAAGATTTTCAATGATTTTTCCTATATATTTCTATATAAAACTTTGATTCCCCATTGTGGCCCCGCCCTTCCCCCGGGGGTCATGATGTGAACAATTTAGAATCTACACTATACCAGGATGCTTCCACATAAGTTTCAGCTTTACTGGCCCAGTGGTTCTTGAGAAGAAGATTTTTTAATGATCCAGCCCTATTTTTGTCTTTTCTTGATTATCTCCCCTTGCGAGGGGATATGTCCCTTCATTTTTACAATTTAAATTCCCCTTTACCCAAGGATGCTTTGTACCAAGTTTGGTCAAAATTGGCCCAGTGGTTCTTGAGAAGAAGTCGAAAATGTGAAAAGTTTACAGACGGACAGACAGATGGACAGACAGATGGACAGACGGACGGACAGACAGACGGACGGACGACAGACAAAATGTGATCAGAAAAGCTCACTTGAGCCTTCGGCTCAGGTGAGCTAAAAACTGATGGTGGACTGACAGACCAACCGATCGACAGACAGAAGCAAGGCAATATCCCTCCCTTCTTCATAAGCACTTAAGAGAAGAGAGGCTTGACATGTTCCTCATAAACACTACTGGCCAAAACTGAAACTTCATAATACTGACAATTCTGTCAGTACTTGAAATCATGACAAATGAAGATTTTATAGTTTCAGTTTTATTCCTATTTGTGATATTGCACAACTACAGTAAATACTGTAAATTCTTTACTAGCTTGCATACAGTATACATGCACATACAAAAAATTATAAGAGTATAGTACATTTACCATACTAACATGAAGTCATCCTCATAGAATTTACACATTTGTTATATCATTAACTACATGTAAATTTCATTTACATTTACTTCAAAAAAGAAGAATTATTATGTATCCCATTCTCCACATTCAAAAATATTTTCCTCAAATCTTTTCTTAAATATAATTTTCAAAATCTTTTACCAGGCACTAACATAATGAAACAGAAATTATAAAATCACTTTTATACAACAAATCATCATAAGTGTAAATTAATTTATTAAATACTGATCATTAATAATTAAACAGAAATATATCACATTTTGTTTTGTAAGTTTTCCCCTCTCTGATTTCTGTGTCTGACATCTCGGAGCACCGACATATTTTTGGACCAGGTGTAGGGACCACGTCCCCCGGGGGTAACTGACCTCAGCTGGGGGACAGGGAGGGAAGCACTGCTCTTAAAGAGTCTGTATAGTTCTCAATATTGCACAAAGGATTCCCGGCGACGTTGACTTCCTCCAACAGGAGACCAGCCAGGGGGGTAAAAACTTGTACTGTCTGTAGGGCTGAAACAAAGGGAGAGAACTCTCAATAGAGACAGTAAAGTGAATGAATTACATGTAATATTCAATTCAGATTCAAAACCACATCGATCAAACACTGTTTTTATTTACCATTTTTCTGTAGATGAAGTGTTTTAAGTTGTTTACAATGTTGGAGGCTCTCTACATCCTCTATTTTGTTATTATTGGCTATGAGTATCTTTAGACAGGGGAGATTACTCAGGGGTCTAAGGTTAGATAACTGGTTCTGTGAAATGTCCAGCTCCTGGATTAGTACCATCCACTCTGTGTGACACAGAACAGTCAGGTCAAGGCCAGTCAAGGTCATCTCACGGGTGTTTACATCCTGAACATCCAGAATCTTCTCAATCATAAACTTGCTCTCTATAAAATAAGGTGATAGACCAATAAAAATAAATACTGTATTAAGGGAAATTTTTGCCCCCTTTTATTTTTGCCCCTCTTCGCCCTATCCTCCTTTTAGGCGAATTTAAAAGGGGGCGAATTCAAAGAATACAGTATGATTTCTTACACAAACTGTGATTGGGCGAATTTAAAATGGAACAAAATTGTTTTCAAGTGTGAAGGGGCAAAAATAAACCTGTATACAGTAACCTTTAGAGACAGAGGTTTTACAAATCATGAGCATAATTATATTAAATTTAAAAATAAGTTGACTGATAAAGGCATTCTATGAAAAGATCACAGAGGATATATTTTATCTACATGTAGAAAGCTTACTTAAATCCCAGTAAAATGCCCTCCTCTTGGTGTCTACAGCACTGAGTTTATTTATAGCCTCATTGATGCCTTCCTCAAACCTCTCATGCACAGGATCAATGGCCTTCATCAGGTACACCAAGGTCAAAAGCACCCCTGTGGAAAAAAATATAAAGTATGAGTTGTCACTTGTTCTTGTCAGCACACTGTATTATATTTGACGTGTAGGATATTTAGCGGAAAATGATTTTTAAACAAGTTAGCGTAGATTTGATTTAGCGCATTTCTTGATGTTCTTATTCATGTATCAATGTTTAAGACATTTAGCGATGTACTTGAATTAGCGGAAGTATCTTTCCGCCAAAAGCATTTAAAAGAATACAACGCCAAATGTAATACGTTTACCGTATTCCTCCTTGACTTGTGCTTCACACTAATCTCAGGAATAAGCAAAGAATGGAAAATAAACATATAATTTTCAAAAAGAACAGCTCTAATAAAAGGTAAGTGATGTTCATACATTTGTTTTCTGGCTCCACTGAGTGAAGTTCTTGGATCCCCTCCAGTTCTGTTTCCAGGGTAGAGCTGGCTGCCGCGCTGAGCTCGATACTAAATCTTGTCCCCGCCTTGTAGCCAGCCATTGTCCAAGCTTCCTTCTGACCCTGATTAAGCTGAAGGCCTTGTGAGAACTGTGTGCAGTCGGACTCGGTAAGTAGCGTCACTCCAATAGATAAGTCCTCTTCACTTTGTAGGCCATCCTTCACATCCATTACCTACCAATAAAAAAGGTAAACTGATGAAACTTTTTAAAAAAAAAAAAAAAAAGCTAAAACAAAAAATGAAAATTGTTTTTCTGTTTAGATTTTATGGACCATAATTCTCGCATCGCAATGTATTATTTAAGGTGAATGAATTTTCAAACTTATGCTAATTAATTCTGCAGTTATTGTAATATTTAAAGGTTGGTCACATTTTCTTGCACTCTCTTTAAACTTACCCAAATATTACTGTAATTAGTTGACCCTTTCACATTTTTCCATTCCCCCGTGATAGAGGTACTGTTGATGTTTACAGACAATATGTGGCCATGATTTACCTGTCAATATATTTATAGTCCTCAGTTAAACAAACTAATGAAAAACAAACATACACAGTAAACAGTTAATACACTGCTTAAAATGTGAAAATTTAAAAAAAGCATTCTTTGCTAAGTGGCTTCCTGAAAATGATACTAACATTTGGCAAAAATATTTTTTTTATCTACAATTATATGCATCTTTCAAATCATTTCTGCAAGAACAACGTCTTGGGTATCATACCTTAATGTGATTTGTCAGAAGCACTATTATTTGGTTTGTGTGACGTGAGGCATGAACACAGCTGACCTGAAGCTTTTTCCTGCCTAAAAAAACAACATTATCCAAAGAGTTTTTATAATACAAAACTGCAGCAAAGTTATTTTACTTATGCAGAGACGTATTATGTTATTTATGTCTCTGATTTATGTTAAAATATTTTTCCTTTATCAAAGAGTTTTTCAACGTTCTATTTGATTCACGTAATAAAGCTTAACAAAGTGAACATTCCAATCTCAACTAAAACGTAATAAAGCTTAACAAAGTGAACATTCCAATCTCAACTAAAACGTAATAAAGCTTAACAAAGTGAACATTCCAATCTCAACTAAAACGTAATAAAGCTTAACAAAGTGAACATTCCAATCTCAACTAAAACGTAATAAAGCTTAACAAAGTGAACATTCCAATCTCAACTAAAACGTAACAAAGCTTAACAAAGTGAACATTCCAATCTCAACTAAAACGTAATAAAGCTTAACAAAGTGAACATTCCAATCTCAACTAAAACGTAATAAAGCTTAACAAAGTGAACATTCCAATCTCAACTAAAACGTAATAAAGCTTAACAAAGTGAACATTCCAATCTCAACTAAAACGTAATAAAGCTTAACAAAGTGAACATTCCAATCTCAACTAAAACGTAACAAAGCTTAACAAAGTGAACATTCCAATCTCAACTAAAACGTAATAAAGCTTAACAAAGTGAACATTCCAATCTCAACTAAAACGTAATAAAGCTTAACAAAGTGAACATTCCAATCTCAACTAAAACGTAAGGCCATCCTTAAAAAATTCTTTTCTTGCGGTAACGCGCCTCCTCATTCTCATTTTAGGCATGAGTAGGTAGGTAGGCTTTTTTTTTTTTTTTTTTTTTTTTTGAGACAAAATGTCAGAAATAAATTTTGATTATATAGAGGTATAAACTATGTCTTAGATTTCACCTTACTAATCAAACAAGAAAATTAAAGCATTCTAAATGAATTCAATCCTTTATTGCCCAAATATAAGAACACATCAGTTCTTTTTTAAAAACGGCGTAGGTGCAATGGAGACATAAAAAAATATCAATCGGATAAAAACAGAGAAAATGGATATGTAAAAAAAAAAAGAAAAAGATTTTTGAACCGATAAAAAAAATCCAGTAGGGTGGATTTTGGTGAGTCGGTCGCGTTACCGCAAAAAAACATTTTTTTAAGGATGGCCTAATAAAGCTTAACAAAGTGAACATTCCAATCTCAACTAAAACGTAATAAAGCTTAACAAAGTGAACATTCCAATCTCAACTAAAACGTAATAAAGCTTAACAAAGTGAACATTCCAATCTCAACTAAAACGTAATAAAGCTTAACAAAGTGAACATTCCAATCTCAACTAAAACCAAGAAACCTACCTCTGCCCAGAAGCCACCTGTGATAAAACCAAGCACTTTGATCATCTGGATCTGTAAAGATGGCATTCTGAACTGTCTCATGTTCTGTAATTAAAAAATTAATTTAATCTATAAGATCATTTAAACGACAGATTTTCATTATAAAATAAACCTCTACATTGGTGCTATTTTTCTTTTTAATTTTTCAAAAAATTTCAAGATATAGCAAAGAAAATTCACAGGTCTCCAGGACATAACTATAACCCAGCTATGCTGTATATCTTCAATCACTCAGGCCTGATTACACACTATTATGTTTTATAGACATTCAAATTCTTATTTTAAACTCTTCATAGATTTTGCAAAGGCATGTTTATAAAACACTATGTTTTTCAGAAATTCAAATTCTTATTTTAAACTCTTCCAATGAGTAGATTTTGGGGTCCTGACCTTGCAGTAAGATATCCTCCTGTACCCTGACAGGGTGGGTGGGGTCAGGGAAGATGACAGGGAGGAGTTTACTGCGGTAATGCCAAGAGGAGTAGTTGGAGAAGTTAGTCTGAATTTTCTCTGTGGTGTACGCGAGTTCCTGTTCTAAATCAACATCTGAGGCCAGAACAACTGTGCGACGATAATCCCAGCAATGAACTACAAGAGAAGATTATCATATTCCTTCAAAGATTCAGTTTTTCCTATTTCAAATAGAATAAATGGTTTGTAATGCTATATATTCAATGACATGAAAATTTCCACACAGATTTCCAAAATTTCCAAAATTTTGAGTAAGAACCAATATTTTGTATCTTCCAATTATATTTTCTTCTTGATTTCAGAATGGACAATCTTTGTTACTTATTAAAATTGGCTGATTATTATGCTCACAGTTTCGCTCATCGTACTCCAAGAATGTGTTACAGAGCTGGAGTTCCCGTTCCCAGTCGGGTGTTGGCATGTTGTCCATGATGAAGCAGCGATGATGCCAGGCTCCATACGATTTAGGATTTACCTTCAAACAGGACTCCAGAAATCCCAGCTCATCCTGCATCAGCTTCTGTACAAATTCGGTCTCTCTGAAATATAACATACATTACATTTGTATGTACACTGTGTACACTGAGCTTCAAATATTCTTAACTGAATTTAATGAGTTATGATTTATAAAGAAAATACAATTTAAATTCATGCATTTTTTTATCTCTTTAAAAAAAAAATATTTCAGTGTAGATGCACCAACTGAATTGTCTGATCACTGTATTATTTCTACTACTTTAAGATTAGAGAAGCCATGCAATTTAGAGAAGTGGTCTGCTTACTTGTTATCCTTCATGAAAAGAAATATTTCCTTGCGGTAGTTCCAGAGAGAATAGAAATCTGGGTTAACAGATAATATCTCTCCTGTAAGCTTTAATCCTTCTTCATCGAATTCTCCATTTAATCTCTTTAAGAAAATATCAAGAGATATTAAGTTGTCTGTGCATCTTTTAAACATCTAAATGATCTTATACATGCATTTCCATACCACATGTACATGTACCATAACCCTTCCCCTGAAGACAGATGTACCTTTCTTACAAAATGTTCCAGAATCTAATTACAATGAATTTTCCGTGGAAAAATTTCAAACATTTTTTGTTGGAGCTTTAAAATTTCATGCAATTGCAACTTCTCATGCCTTTTGGACTAGCGGAAAAAAAACCTCGAATGTATTGTGTAGACACCATGACAACCCCCCTTTTCACAAACTTTGGAATAAATGTTGGAAGACTTCTTATCTGAGGACTATGGAATTAAACTTAACTCAAAGTAAAACACTAAACATACTACCTAAAATATACTGTACAAGAGACTTTTACCTTGTCTATCCTATATTTAAACAAGCATTCTGAGAGTATTACATAAGAAATACATGCCCCCTACCGGATTCCCCCTTTTCTTTAGGATGTCATTTCATAATATGCAAAAGTTATGTACAAGGTAAAACTGGTTGATTTTGAGGTTGTGGATGCCTTTAACCTTATAAAATAATCCACATATAAAAGACGAAAATTCAACTCATTTTTTCAACGTCTTTTTCTCGCTTTATAAATTTACCATGTTGGCCATCGGAATTTAGCGCAGCACCAACCTGATCTTAAACCATTATGAAAAATTAAAAATGCCATAATTTTGTCAGAAATCAATGAAGCGAAACGACATTCAACGTTGATCTGTAACTCATCAAGACACACTCACATACCAAAATTCAGCTCAATATCTGCAAGCGTTTAGAAAAAAAGTGCGGAAAACCAAGTAGGACAGACTGACAGACAGACGGGGACATACAGACGGACTCACAGACAGATGGACAGATGGAAAGATGCAGAGGAAACCTATAGTCTCCTCCGGTTTCACCGGTAGGAGACAAATAAACAGGAAGATGTATATTTTTTTTAAAATCTAGTGATGTTTAGTTAATAGATTTGAGGTTGTTTTTCTGACCTCTGACGGAAAGACCCTAAATGAAGCAGTTGAAATTTTATTGTGTCTGTGACCCACTTACTTTTTTAAATGCCGCTGACGTAGCTGCGTTATAAAGTTTGAGTTTCTGCTCTCGTTCTTTCCGCTTTGCCTCCTCCTGTTGGGCTGTTGTTTTCACTTTTAATCTACCATGCTGAAAATCAGAAGCAAGAAATAGCAATAAAGTTAGCTCTACTTGCACAAAATATTTTGTTACAACCACACTTCTCTGCCCTTTGGCAGGTCCGGCACAATCTCTTGATTAAGCTATATAGCTTGATTTAGCTAAATAGCTTTATTAAGCTATTCAGAATAGCTTGATTAAGCTATTTTATTAGACTTTTTTCTCAATAGTGTTATTTTTTCAACAAGTGCAAAAAGTCGCACCTTGGTGCAGTGGAAATATTAAACTTGGAACTCTTCCGAATACAATGCATGTGAAAATCACTCACCAAATTGCGGCTCCTTGAGAGACTTTGTACTCAAAGTTTTTAAAGTTTTGGGGCTATTGATGAGTGACCACACAGTTATTTCTTGAATGAAATTATAAAAGAGGTCATTTATGGCCAACAGGATAATTGATTGGTAAGAGCTCAGCACAATGAGAAGCAATCATACTTACCCACGCTTAATCGAACACACAGTTAATCAAACAATGGAAATTCATGTTTTGCTTAAAAGTACTCAACAGCAGCAATGTTAGAACTTTCTATGATTTAGGTTGTATTTTTGATAGTCCATAATACATATACTCCCCGTCAATGAAAACGCAACACTCTAATTTTAGGGTGAAAAGTATACACGGGTTATAACTACGTACCAAAAAAGGTAGGACATCTTTTACTTTGCCAAATCAGTTATTTAACGGTTGAATAAATTTCTTTTCTCTACCGGAAGTTGCTTTTTAGCCCTCTTAATAGAAATCAATTTTTTGAATTTTTAATAAAATCTTTAACAATATTTTGGGTTTTCAAGATTTTGTAGCTGTTTATCATAAGTAATGTACTAAAAGTCCGGGAAAAAAATACTTCTTTCTTTACCGGATGTGATGCCTATATTTCTTAAAAATGACTGATTTTCATTGCTAATGGTGGAGATTCTCAAAATAAAGAAAAAAGAGATGCAGATGCAAATGAGCACTATTTAAACACTCTTCAGGCTCATGTGTTTCAATAGCATAAATAACAGTTTCTTGACCGGAAGTCCAAGAGTTAATACACTACGCCAAATTAGAGAAAATTCGACCGCTGTGTCTGAACAACGGGCAATTAAAAATGCCCGAGAATATTTATTTCGCTCAGATAAAGACATAAATAAACCTAAGACATGGTAGAAATTGGACTGCGTACATTAATATTGTACATGGCGGACTAGCATGTTTTGATAAAATTGTCGGAAGGGGGGATGTTTTATTTCAATGTTATCTGTTCAGAGGGCTAAAAAAAGCAACTTACGGAAATGGTTTAAAAAACCATTCAACCATTAAATAACTAATTTGGCAAAGTAAAAGATTCCTAACTTGTTTGGTACATATTTATATCCCGTATATAATTTTTCAACCTAAAAGTAGAGTGTTGCGTTTTCATTGGCGGGGAGTATATATGAATAGTCATATACTTGCAACTTTTTGTTTATTTCTTGCGAAAAACGTTTTTGTGAAAAACTGCATATAAATAGCTTTATCAAGCTATTTTGAATAGCTTAATAAAGCTATATAGCTTTTTAAAGCTATATAGCTTAATCAAGAGATTGTGCTGGACCTGTTTGGCTTTGTATACAGAAGAGTGTATTTTTATATGTAAATACTTGAGTTTTTTCATTCATAAGTGAGAAATGAAGTGTCAACATCCCACAATAGGCTTAAAATGTATACAGCTGCATGATACGTTTATCACCATGTTTTCTCCCCGCAAGCCTATGAAGATGAAGTCTAACATAACATCACGTTCGAATTTGCTCTATTCAATTAGCCATATAATTGACTTTACGCAAGTATGAAGTAAAATACTTAATGTGAATATTTGTTCTGTCCATATAAAAATTCAATAAGAAGCAATGATAACTAAATGTTAACAGATCTATTTGAAATAAACAACGAATCTTACCATCTCGAATGACTCTGATTATAAAACGGAAATGAGTCTTTTGTTATCTCTTATCGGTTAGAGAGTGAAGAATTTGTCATGATAATTTAAGCATGGATGTTTCGTATAAGGGGCCAATCTGAAGCTAAGTGTTTTACCACCAATTTTAAGTCATCAAAGGGCAAACAAAAATAAAAGGTATATAATTAAAAAAATATATATCATACGAATGTAATGAATATTCTATTTCCAAATGACATTTAAAAACATGATGAATTGAATATATCCCACTGCGGCATACGTACACCATCTTTTCTTTTAAAAGTTATAAAGTAAAGAATTTTAAAAAATGAATCTTTAATGTGAAAATTCATTGTCTCTTTCATATAAATTAATGAAATTTTTCTTAAAATCTATAACAAAAGAATGGTGCTAATCAGTGGCGGATCCAGAAGTTCATATGGGGGGGGTTTTGAAGCCCAAAGGGCCGAAGGGGGAGGGCATAGGTGGGGGTTCGGGGGGCCTCCCCCGAGAAAATTTTGTTTTAAATGGTTCTAAATGGTGCATTTTCCAGCATTTTAGGGGTACTTTTTGTAGCTTTTTTAAAGACCGATCATCACAAATTTTTAATAAGATGATTTCAATTTGATTTCACTTTAACACAAGACTTTAGACTTTGCTTTAAAAAAATGTTAAATCTGACAATTTTAGGAATGCAAGCAGTTGACTTCAAGTTGTCTTAGTTTACTTTAAATGCACCTACATGTACAATTAATTTAGTTCTATGTCAGGCTGACTTCCAAGATACAACTAATGTGCAAATTTTTAAACACTAAAAAATTAAAAATTGAATTCTTTTCAGAATCCCTAACTTGTGCTTTTCAACTTACTTGAGTATATACTGTCAATATGATTTGGAATATAAACACACGTGTACAATTAATGAAATTTCAAACTGTCTTAACTGAAGAAAAAATTTACATAAACTGGAGAATCTGTCAAAACTAGAGGGGTTTGCTAAGCCAACCTGGTTTTGTAAAAAAAAAAATATATTAATTTTAAAACGGTAAAAAAAAACTCTGAATAATATTTTATTCTTAGTTTAAAAAACATGCATTTTATCAGCTAAAGAATATTACCGAGCAGCACCGTAACTATGCAGTTTTCTGTTGTTGGTACCTAACTACCAACTGTTACCAATTGTACTGTGATCTTGTGACTTCACTAGATGCACGGACTACCCGATCTCTGAGGCACTCTCTCTGTTGATTACCTGTGTGTTGTGTGCGTTCAAGCGGAAAGAGATTTCCTGTTACGTACTGGATTTATATTTCACAGTTGTACAAACAAAGGGTTTATGTTTATTAGAGTCTTATCAATGCAACAAAATGACGAAATGACACTTGTAAAAAAAAAAATCAGTGAGCGGGGGGGGGGGGGGTGTCCCGAACCCCCCCCCCCCCAAACCCCCCTGAATCCGCCCTTGTGCTTAAAGAAATGAACAACTCGTGATCAATGTGATTATAGTAAACAGTTAAAATGTGACGAACGTCACTGTATCTTTACAACTCTTAACTATAGTAAACACATATTGATTTTTAAAATTATATTTTACAACTGTTACCAATATTGTTTTACAAACAATTACATGTATATTAAAGAATATGTAACAAACATAACCGTCTACCCGATCAATGCATACTACATAGATAAGGCTCACGGTGGGTGTGACTGGTAGACAGGGGAAGCTTACTCCTCCTAGGCACCTGATCCCACCTCTGAAATTTCCAGAGTCCATGTTACAAGACATCTTCACATATTTGTATAATTTATCATTTTTTGTGATTGACCATTGTTTGTTATTTTAAGTCTTTTAAATTTGCATCTGATAGTGCTGTGCAACAATACTATCATTCCAGTGCACATGCACTACGGTTCTTAGGGAAAAAAATCATTTTGCGATCATATCAAGCCATATTATTATAGAGCTACTCCAAAAACGTTTCCATGATCACTCATCTGGAGAATGTATGTTAGATTCAACATTTTGGAAGTGTTCATCCTTGTATACCAGAAGATACATCATCCATGCTACCTAGCTGCAGAACTATAGCTCTGGGAAAAAAAATGAAATTGACAGAACGGAGAGATACAGTGCCACCCCATGAAAAAACTGTATATTTATTGTACACAAAAGGTTGCGTTAGGTTCTGGATTAATTCTTCTAAATTCTTACCTCAATTGCAAAAAAAAAAAAAAAAAAAAAAAGAAAGAAAGAAAGAAAGAAAAACAGCGCGACCTTTTGTGCGCAATAAATATACAGTTTTTTCAAAGGGTGGCACTGTAGCTCTCCGGTCTGTCAAATTTTTTTCCGGAGAGCTACCATACTACGGTGCAATATGGTTAAAGTATCATTCACTCCTCTGGAAAATATAGGTCAGATCCAACACCCGAGGCAAACTGGGTAGTGTGCATTCCTATTAACACATCACCCATGCAAGTTTAGTCCAGGTATGACTGATAGTTACTTGAGAATGGACCTGCTTCAAAAATTTTAATCTAGTCACTAATCTGGAAAATGTAGGTCAGATCCAGCATCAAAAGCAACTCTGGTAGTGTGCATCCCTAGAAGCATCATCTACACAAGTTTGGTCCGGGTAGTTTGTTACTTGGAAATTGGCTTATTTCAAAAATATAACAGGGACGCAAACGCTGATACCGACGGTATAGCATAGGCTTAAATATGTCGACTTCGACGAGGTGAGCTAAAATCAATTCTTGTTAAAACTCAGTTTTGCTTTAATTTTAACATTTTTTTTCACTTTATTTTGCAAAATGGTCTAATGTTCTTTTCCCAAGTGCTGATCAAAATGACTGATACAATGAGAATGATGCATGATATTAGCTGGTCCAAATTACTATAATTCTGATTTTTTATTATATACATTGATAATAATTTTTGTGAAGGGATGTTCCCTCCCCCCAAAGTTGCCTTTTACGGGTCTTATCCAATAGAAGTAAGCATCTCTGCAATGATGAGAGGATTCACTAGAAAGGCTACGTACGTTCATCCTTAAACTGAACTCTCGAAATAAAAACTGCGAGAAGCATCACTACTACGTTTAATAATATTTATTGATTTTTGTTTTTTTCATTTTATATATATAAAAAAAGCAAAACAAGATCACAACAGATAATAAGTAGGCTAGCTAAAAAAACAACAAAAAAATAACAACTCTAAAATAGACTGCTCATTTCAAAATTGAGAAGATATATATATATTGCATGATATAAATCTTCATCAAAATATTGAAAACAACATCTGATATGTAAAGGTCCGGGGTCCGAGCTACTCCAGCGCTGTGAACATTAGAGATCAGGGTTAAGGAGCTGAGCAGACATGTGGAATTCTATCTAAGAGGGAAATTCCTAAAAATTCTCAAAATTCACTGTACTTCAGTCTAGAACTCTGGATTTCGCTGATTCCGATCTATCACATTTTAGTTTCACAATTGTCCTCATTAATCTGCGGGGGGTGGATCCCGTTCTTCTCCTGTTTGTTGGGGAGGTCCACCTCGTACTCCACGGGCTTTAAGATGTCGTTCCGAGACAGATGCTCCACGATCCCTGCCCCGTAAGAATCCCCCAAAACATTTACCGCCGTCCTAAACCGGTCCCTGAAAAATGTCGAATATATAATGATATTTATATAAATAAATTGCACGGGATCCAATCTTTCATTGTAAACGCAAAAAAAAAATTAAAAAAAACACTTACAAAAACCAGTCAATGGACAAAATGAGCGTAATCTCATTAATTGGAAGACCAACTGCCGTCAAGACGATCGTCATGGTAACCAGACCGGCTTGTGGGACGCCGGCGGCACCAATGGCAGCAGCTGTCGCCGTCAGACTGAAACACATTTATCTGTTTATTTCATATACTAAATATACATAAGTATGATTGTAAATTGATTAAAAAAAACTCAAATACATGTATTATAAGAGAACAAGGTAAACAGAAACACCAACGGTAGTGTACATTTCTGTATTTTATATGATAATGGAAATCACACACAGTTAAAAATATATTTATTTGTGAAGTATTATTTAGAGAACGAGACGGGTTCTGTATCGTAGATACAAATTTGGGGGTGGAGACGAGTGCGCGAGCACGAGTCTCCACCCCCAAATTTGTATCTACGATACAGAACCTGTCGAGTTTTCTAAATGATTTGTGACACGATCAATCAAAAATAGCTCCGCCCACTTATAACTTTGCAGCATCCAAACTTCCGCCGGAGTTCTGTAGATGAGGCCCCGACGGGGAGTACGCATCCGCAGTATATATATTTCCACGGAAAACGTAAAATTCGGTCAGATTAGTTTTGACAATTTAACTGGGTAGACGTAATCGAGTGATAGTCAAAACAAAAACAGGATTTACAGAAAATTCTTCGATGGACTTTGATGTCACGGATTTTTATTTTCAAATTGAATTGCGACATTAAGAGACGTGTGGCTGTCATCAGCGAGAAGGATTTTAAAAAATAAAAACGCGGAAAAAATGGATTTGAATGATTTTGCACGAGGAGAGTGGATGTTTTCCGTTATTGCGAATTTTTCGTTTCGTTTGGAGCGAAATTACGTACAGAGGATATTTTCCGTTATTGCGAATTTTCCTTTTACTTTGGATCGAAATTACGTGTAGATTCTGTGTGGAATAAGTTTTTTAAAAAGTGATTGAGAAATTTTGACATTTTACATTCTCAGGAAAATACCGGGTATTTCTCCAAAATTTATGTAATAGGAAAACATCAGCATTTACTATCTGTACGTGCTTTTGCTAAATTGAATCAGATTTATTTTTAGACCGTGCTGAATTTTAGATACAGAATAGTTGGCAAATACAATACTGTATACAGGGCTAATACAGAACGGAAAGTAGCTCCGCCCACCGTAGTCCCGTTCTGTATTGCTAATACAGAACAGTAAACTTCAAAGAAAAACACCGCTATCGTGTCACAATTTCAAGATATAAATTACTCAATTAAGAGAATGTCATCAATAAATGCGATAGATATACCTGACGACTATGACCTCCCCTATACCGAGGGAAACGCCGATATACTGAGCTATGAATATGGATGCCACCGCCTCATACAGCGCCGTGCCGTCCATGTTAATGGTGGCGCCTATGGGAGTCACAAACATCGTCACACGGGGGTCCACGTCATTGTTCTCCTCCAGACACCGCATGGTCAGTGGCAGTGTAGCAGAACTGTAACAGTACATCAGTTGTTAGCAATGAAAACATACGCAACTGGGGTATACTCTAGATCACTAAATTTTCGCGACACCTTATTTTCGCTAGATAGTCATTGACTCTTTATTAGGGAGACAAAATTTTCACGAATTATGATTATTGCTCTTTATGATCTTAAGAAATACTAATGAACGCGAGAATAAATTTTTTGCGAGAACACTGTCTAGCGTAACTACGCAGAAATAAAGTTCTCGCGAATAAAAACAGTATTGCCTCCTTTTAATCCACAAAACGTCAAATTGTCCTTTTTAACCATTTTTTCTCAGAGAAATCCTCTGGGAAACTTTACATCAGATTTACCTCGAGGCCGTTCCCCATGCAGTGAGAATCGCTTTGGTCATGCCTAACATGAACGAGAAAGGGTTTTTCCTGGTGAACACGGCGTATATAACGGGCAGTATGATGAAGGCGTGGATAAGCAGACCGGCCAGAACGGTGACCATGTAGTAAGCCAGCTGTTCAAACATCGTAGCCAGGTCCTCCATCTCCACCAACTTAGCGGCGATCAGGAAAATTATCCCAACCGGCGAGTACCTGTAAATAATACAATCAGGTAATTATCCCAACCGGTGACTATCTGTACAGCATAATACAATCAGGAAAATTATCCCAACCGGTGAGTACCTGTGCAGCATAATATACAATCAGAAAATTATCCCAAACGGTGTATACCTGTACAGTACAATACAATTAGAAAATTATCCCAACCGGTGAGAACCTGTAAATACAGACAGGAAAAATATTCCTTTCTGTAAACACAGACAAAAATTATCCCAACCGATGAGTAAATGTAAATATAGACTGGTAAAACATCCCCTCCTGTAAATACAATTAAAGAAATTATCCACACCGGATAGTACATGTAATATAAACAGGAACATTATCCTATCCCCTGTTGTAAACACTATCAGATAAATTATCCAGACCGGTGAGTACCTGTAAATACAGGCAGAAAAAATAAATACCATCGGAAACATTATCCCAATATCTGTAAATACAAACAGGAAACTAAGTCCCCATGAAAGAGTTTCTACAAAATTATCCCAAACAGAGATTGCCTGTAAATGGAATCAGGAAAATCATCCTCACAGATCGAGGATACTAGTGAAATTATCACAACAGAATTCTTGTGAAATGATTCCAATAGAAGAATCCTTAAGTACATACAAACAAGAAAATAGCATCTGTCAAATATCCCCACAGAAGAGTTTGTGTAAAGTTTTGAATTTTTCAACCTTGCATCATGCATCGTCTGAATCCACGGTTCGGAGTCCAGAATGGGGAAGGATCGTACATTTTGGCTGTGGTTTGCGACGATGATCTTGCATAGGAGTATAAACTCATTACCCGGTACTAAAACAGACACCAAACATAATGATGAATCAGTTAATGAAGCAGTCCTACTCACCATATAACAAGTGTAACCAACTTCATTGTTGCTACGTGAAGGCACTCAAAGAACTTCACCAAGGGGGTGCCATCTTCTCCCATTTTGGAAAGGACACCTCCCAAAAACAACGAGAACACGACAATTCCTAGAATGTTCATTCCCGAGGCTTTCGTCACATCAAGTGTTTCTACCACAATGCTAGTTGTACCTGTAAGTCGTATTGTTATAAAATTAGAACCGTTTTGGTAACAGAGGAAAATGAATAACATCCATGCCATAACATTTGAAAGCAAGAGAACAACTTGTAAACTCCATTTAGTCTTTGACGACGCTTGTAAAAAGGACGCATTATATTATAGCAATCAGTGATTTAAGTGACGCGTAAAAATTATTTTGAAAGAAGCGGGGGAGGGGGGGGGGAGGAAAATAAATTTTTTCCCCCACCAAAACAGGTTTAGTTAAAAAAGGGGGAAAAAAAAGAAATGATTTTAGTCCGTCTGTCTTCAGCTTCGAAAGTTACATTTTGAGTACATCTAATATCAGGATATGGTCATTCCCCTGTATCTATCCTTGAATTCAATATTTAAATCATTTTGAATGTCTTTCTTCTGTTTCAAAATCATTGCAATTGTCAAGAAATTTTCTCTATCAGAATAATTTGAACAGTAAGAAATGTTTTTATTTTTAAATCTTCGTCATCGCTCTCTTTGTTTCAGTTACGCAGAGAGAGAGAGAGAGAGAGAGAGAGAGAGAGAGAGAGAGAGAGAGAGAGAGTATAGACTCGAGGAATAAAACAGCGAGTTTATTTCCTTAATAAAACTTTCCTCTCAACACGTACTATAAAATATAATTAAGAATTTGCTTTCAATGGTGAATACACTAGATTCATTATAAATATATAAATGCGCATTATTTAGTAAAATAGGGCAACGCAATCAGAAGTCAATTTTCAGTATAAAATGCTCTAGTTACAAGGAAAGTTTAATTACAAATAGATTTTAAAATACGTTACTGCGCATTAGAATCATTTCAATTCAATTGTATGAATTTAACAAACCACTTTGCTGGAACACTTATGTGAAAAAAGATATAAAACGAAGTTTATACGATCTGAATTTAATTAAGAGATGAATTTAACTTTTGAGAATTCATGTTTACGCGCTTCATGAAAAATAAGCCGGCGTGAAGATCCTTGTTCATATACCTCATGAGTTTTTAAGGATTAAATTCATATTTTAAATTCATATTTTATATCTACAATATTTTACTGATGACTTGCCACGTTTTTTTGTCATTCAATGATCATTTCTGAATTTTTTTTGTCAGAATATTCTTAAGTTTCAATTATGTCACAATGCAAACATTCTTACCTATCCCACTGCAGTTATGAGAACGTGAACTTTTTTTTTCTAATTTGAAAAGGATACAAATTCTAGTATACATGCAAGCAAATTAAAGTCAAACGCAACGCCGTTGCAAGGGAATAAACTATTGCAGCAAAATTGATTGTGGTTGCGAAGAAATGACAGTATAAGCCTATACAAGCCATGGGCGCTTATTTCATACAATACGCTAATTTACTATTATATACAATAACAGGCGCTTGTTTCATATAAAAATACGCGTATTTTATAATAGTAAATTTGCGTACTGTGTGGGACAATCGTCTGTGCTACAAGCAAAGCGAAAATTATATAAATCGAATAACAAGATATGTCTCGTCAAGGGATGATGCGTGTTGGTGGTGTGGGTTGGGGTGGGGGTTAGCGTATTTAAGTGGTAGTCTGCATGTTATCCTGCAAATTACAAATGGATCAATTTTAACATTGGTAGTCTTACTGTTATCCGTTATGTTCGCCCCTGTCATATTCCCGCTATCAGTCAGATTGGCCAATGTCGAGTTCAGCACTGTGTGGAGAAAAATAATACATCCAGATAACCTTCTGAATTTAAACATATGAATTTGATTGCAAATGTCAGCATACGTATCATTCTTATATGTTTCAATAAAATCATGTTAGTACTACATATTTTGTACAAAAAAAATTACTACATGTAAAAATTTGTTTAAATTGATAGAAATGTCGACTCTCATGATTTGTTATCTGACACTTTCTGAAGTCTATTTTTTTCAACATTTTAAGATATTTAAAATGGATATAAAATACTCTAGGTCAACGGGGATTATCTTACCAGTCGTTAATTTGCTTGAGGTATCTTTGGGGGTCACTGTCTTATTCCCCACCGTTGTCACTTGCTAAATTGAATATATTTATCATGGGTGAATGGGCACGCGTATAAATGAATTTGGTAAATTTCATTACTTGTAAATTTTACAAAAGTTGGAATAAAATACACTCGTTACCTTCTGGAATGCGCTCTCTATAAGGTTGTCGGGGAAGCAGTTTCTAAAATCATAAAAAAATGTCAAGATAATTTATCAAATTTCCCTTACTTAATCAGATTTTTTCTTTATTTGTAAAAAAAAAAAATGGGAGGGAAGGGGGGGATTTCATCTGATTAGGGATAGTTTTACTTAAAATTCAATTGGGAAATCTTTGAATAATATAAGGCAACAATACTTGGCTGTCGAATCGAACACACCTTATCAAGTCAAAGAGGGCATCCAGAGGCTCTGCTTCTTTGGGTTTGCCTGTTTTAGTAATATCCTTGCTACCCTTCTTTCCTGGTTCTATCGTCATCACTAAAATGATTCCCAGAATCACGGCGGCGAACGTCGTCGTCATGTAGTACACCACTGTGCGCAGGCCCATACGACCGGAAGCATTGGTGTCGAGACTTCCCATAGCGGTGATTAGGCTCGACACAATAAGAGGAAGAATCAGCATTTTTAGCATATTCATCAGAAGATCACCAGGAAAACGGAGGTAGAAGATTTTTCTTGTTTCATACGGAGTCCAAACGTTTCGAAGACCGAATCCGAGAGCGAGGCCGATGATGACGGCGATGATCATCAGGATGATGAGAAGATTCGTTCTCAGGACCTGTAAAATCTTATCACGCATGGTGTGAGATTCTTCACGTTTTTCTGTCATTTTTATTCCTAATCCTGTAAACAAAGAAAAATAAATCAAGAGATCTTGTCAATATATTCATATAATATTATTCATATTTATGTATATACAAATAGACTTGTATTCCTTAAAATTTATACAGAGTGCCGTTGTTTCAAAGATGTCTTCAATACTAAATTTTCATAATGTATGGGGAAAAGGATGTCAAAAGAAATGTCTAGATACAAGGTATATTTATATATTGATGGGTATATAGAGGTCGAGCAATCATCTGATCATGCTGTGCATCTGTGATGAATTTCCATTATTGCTTTAAAGAAAGGAAACATTTTCACTGGGGTGAAACACCTGTCTAAAGTTCTTAAAAGAGCATGATCGAGGTCATTGATGCCTGGTATCCCTTACTACCATTCACCAAATATCAAATAAATACAAATGCTATTTATAATACATCTACAGTGTATTTCGAAATAGACGTAAGTCATTTTGAAGACATTTACTTAAAGGGGAATTTAGCATGGGATACCCCGCGGATTCACTTCTCTGTGTGTCGACACACCTGTCTGCGACTTTCCCGTACCTATTCGATCCCTTTGCCAGATAAAACCATTTGCAGCCGGCTAACCACATTATTCCAATTAAACAGAAAAAAAAATTAAAATGAAGCCCAACTATTCTGATTGATTTTGAAATGATAAAATTTCACTTCATCAAAGAAATTATTGCTTATAGCTCTTCCCAGTATTATTAGTACTTTGATTAATATCAGAACCTCGGTGACATACAACTGGATAAATAGATACCAGATTCCCAGCTGTTTATTAGATCTATTTGTGTAACTAAGCAGTGGGAAATAAAACAGTTGAATATGATCTGTCAAATGATGATACATTACACAATCACATATAATTCCCAGGCATTATTACTGAAAAGTCTTCACATTCCACTTGTTGGAGTTAACCATTTGAATGACCAGGCTTTATGTGATGGCCTGTAATGCCGACAGGTGCCCGCCGAGGTTTCAGACCAAACCATAATAATACAGACCCAGTGACCCAAAACAAAAACCCTTTTAAAAAACGTCTGTTTACTTATGTCAAGCCTCATAAGATGTTGGAAGGTATTCCACGTAGAATGTCAATACCACTGCTGTATGATTTATAGACTTTGAGCAAATATTACAAAACAAGTGCTCATACTCTTAAATTTTATAGTACAGATAACAACCATTGCAAATATACTAACACGAAGATATGTAAAGTTTGGTGTTCCCATTGTGTTTGACTGCATATTTAATCAAATTCATTAATAATTTATTTCAATGACACAAAAATAAAATCAGTCACGTATAAGGGATGTTTAGAAAATAGAGGATTAGCATAAACTGGGATTGGGGCTGCAACAAAATTCTTGATAAGTCAAAAAAAAAATTAAAAAGATCAAAAGAAATAAAAAACGCAATAAGAACAAAAACTACTACAAACCGAAAAAAGTTAAAGAAAAACCCAAAAATCGTTCCCTAAAAAGCCTTAATTATTTTTTCAAAACCAATATTCTATATTGAGAGAGAAAATGAACAATTCTGAAGTCACTAAACGTCCACGTCTTAATTCGGTCAATGTTGAGGGGAGATCAAGAGGGAGGCATACATTGGCAAACTATTTTTTTTTTACGAAAAAAAAATATAAATATGAGGATACAACCCCTATCCCCCGGTCCCACTTTTTCTGTTACAATTTATACAAACATTTCCAAATAAGAGAGGCGAAGAGATAGAATTAAGTTATGAATTGGGGTCCCATTTTGCAATGAGGAAGTGAGCAGTAATATGTTGGAACACACATTTATGAAAAAAGAAAGAATGAACAGAATAAAATTTGTCCAAATAATATAATGAGTTACTCGTATGTTATCAATATGATGTTGGTATATTTTTTGTTTTATATATATTTTCTGGCACATACACTTTTTTTATGATGTAACAAAATCGAATTTATTGAAGAAAGACAGTGATAAAAAAATAATAAATACTTTAAACTAAATTAATTTTTCAACGTAACCCTAACCTTTAAATATTGAGAATATCAATAGTCTAACTTTTACAAATTGAAAGAAAAAGACATTGCCTACAGTTTAAGACTTAATGATAAATTTTTTGATCATATAATTACGTTACCCATTGTAGTCATCAAAATAAAACAAAACATTTCAATAATATTGGTACAAGATGTCCCTACCGTGGACGTCAACAGTGTTGGCGACGGCTGACTTTTCTTGTTCTGGTTCAATGAAAATTCCACAGATGAATGATTACAGTCTAATATTTATCTGGACAGTCATAAAACGTGCTCCTGCATATAAGCGTTCTATTTACTTAAGTCTACACTTACACTAGTTTTATATTGTTTACTAAACTTCGTCACAGTAATGAATAATAAACACTGCACCAAATTTTTGACACAAATGACACACCTTCACTTATAAACAGGGGATCGGAATCCGGTTTACAGAGAATACGCGACATTCAGAAATTTCATTATTATGTAGGTCTTATAATTAAAATATAAGAAAATTCGCCCCAAGGCATCAGTGTTTAACATAAATGTCAACTTGTTTGTATTCTGCGACAGCTGCAGGTGTGCATCTGAAAATTCAATTGACCAGAAAATATTCATTTTTGATACGTATCTTCATGTGTTCTCTAGGCAATAATGGGGGTGGGGGGGGGGGGGTGGAATGTTTTTTACTTATCTAACACTTTGAATTCAGATATTGTTTTTACATGTAAGATTATTTTTTTTTCTATCAATTAATCTAAAGCAACAATTCATGAACATGTACAAGCATAAAACTGTGGTCCCCAATGTTCTTGGTTGGGATGCAACGATCTAGGGTAAATCTGATCTGTCTTGTCCATTTATCATATCAAGAAAAGTTTTACCTTTGTGAAGTATATAATAATATTGTATAATTTGTATTTTTCAGTAAATTCTGAGCACATTGACCACACTGACTAACATGTATCGCAGAGTGATAATTATTACTTGTTCTTATTTTATTTAGAATAACTAGTTAATTAGTAGAGCTGGTATATCAAGTACTAGATACTTGTAGTGAAATTCCGTTCATTCATTCACCATTCCTTCGATTACGTTGTCTTCAGATGCGATAATACCCAATCGGAACATCACTCGGCCTTTTCTGTCAAGTCGTGTTCGACTTGACAGTTAAGGCCAAATAATGTTCCAATTGCGATAATCCCCTGTAACCCTAAGAAAGATCTTAATGACTTTACATAATACATTACATGGAACTGGTCAATTTTCTAAAGCAGATGTTTTCTCTGGATCAGTCTCATAGATCCAGTCTGACCAGTCATAGTCTCTTTCTCAGAAACCACATGACCCAAATAGCAAACTTGACTTCTGAAGAATTCAGATTTCTTTGGGTCACATTATTTAAATTTCAAGGACAAATAAGACCAGTTTTTGCAATTTTCAAAGTCTATGTCATGGGTTAAATAAACAGAGCATAATTATTCGGAACGGTCTTGTCACAGATACAAAACCTACGTCTTAGTAAGGTTAAACTAGAAAAGTAGGTAATTCTTCAAGGGATAACAAACATAGTGAATGTGGAAAGTACTTGACACAAGCTATGAACTTAATTGGAAATAATGAAACCCCAGTATCTTACGGTGAAAAGTACGTAAGCGTAATCACGGCCAGTTCTGGTTTCCGGCTGGAACAAAGGGCAACAGTTCTCCATGCAGTGCATTCTGTTCTGGGCAACCTTTTTTCAGTAGCCCCACATTGTTTGAATTTCTCAACACATCTCAGCGAGGTTTTCCTGGAACGACTACCCGATGTCAACCCATGGGATTCTAATAGAGAACGAGGTGTGTCTTCCGCCTTCTCTTGGTTTCTGAGAGTGCTGGAAATCCACTGCCATGCACTTCCTAGACCTGTGCTATTTGCCGAGTGGTTGGATTATTGTTTCTTGCTTGCCACAGGTTCTTCTTGCCAAAGAAGATAATAGACTCCACGTTACTGTTGCAGAGCTTTTTGCGTGTTGACAGTGCTGTTGATCTGGAGCACGCAAGCTTGTGTTTATTGAAGCTTTTTCTTAGTTTACCATAAAAATCTTTTTTTCATCAGTGATTGAGTCAATGCCAAACTATGTAGACATTCTGTTTATTGTTGAGTCGCATGATTTCTCTCTTGTAAAGGTAACTCAAAGACCTGTTTTGCTGCTTTCTAAGCCAGACTATTTTGACCTACATATGTTCATACTTCTTGGACACTAGACAAAGGGCGTCATCAAAGTCAAAGACGTCCAGACACTTGATGAAGGTCCAGTGCACTCCTGTCTTGCCGCCTCTTGTAGCTTCCCGCACGATTCAGTTCACCATCATCGGTGAAGGCAGACAGTCTTGTCTTACCTCAGTCTATACTCATCATAGGCTTCAGTAAACGTACCACTGTGGATAACTTTGCACAAAACATCCTCCTATAACTGTTTACAAGATTGATGAAATTGAATGAATATTTTTGTGTTGAAGGATTTAGATGACTCTTCTGCCAATACCGTCTCTAAAGTTCAATGGAGTTTTTGATACAGTATCGTTCTGTCACTCAATGTAATTGGCGGAGTGGGCGCTTTGCTCGTACAGGATATTTCCTTTCTAAAGCTGCATCTTCTGGGAAAGGTCGCTCTTCTACGACATCTTTTGAGAATACTCTAGGTAATCTTAATCGTTCTTAGGGCTGCCTTTCCTTCCCTCAGTCTGAGTTTTTTTTTCGGGTCAAAAGTTTTTTTTAAAAAAAAGAAATGTCAAACTTCAGGGACAACGACATGAGATAACAAGATGTGTTTGTGAAACACTATGCGCCCGGCGGCAACAAGGTTAAAAAAAAAAAAATTCAGCAGATAAGTGAAAGTCAAGGTCACAAGGTCATTGACCTTGGTGTCATTTGAAGAACTTCATTAGTGGAGTATGCACACCAAATATGAAGTCTCTATCTCTCTTGGTTCAAAAGTTATGGCGAAAATTTTGTAAAATCTATTTTTAGCATATAGGTCACAGTCAAGGTAACAAGGTCATTGACCTTGAGGTCATTTGAAAGAGCGTCATTGGTGGAGTAAGGATATCAAATATGTTGTCTCTATCTCTCATGGTTCAAAAGATATGGCAAAATTCAAAAAAGTTATTTTTAGCAAATAGGTCATAGTCAAGGTCACAAGGTCATTGACTTTGATGTCATTCGAAAGAACTTTATTGGTGGAGTATGCATACCAAATATGAAGTCTCTATCTTTCATGGTTCAAAAATTATGGCGAAGGTTAAAGTTGACAACAGACAAACAGATAAACAGACAACAGACAGGACAAAAACAATATACGCCTCGGATCTATCGATTCGGGCGCATAAAAATCATATTCCTCATTCATCTAATGAAGTATAATATGAAAGCCTGTCTTCAGAAATACATCTTATTAAAGACAGACAGTAATACTGACAGACAAATAAGATTGAAATTCTCGCGCTTTTTTAAAGCATGGAACAATATATTCAAGATACACGAGAACAATATCACAAAAGAATACTTTGCATAGCAGAAAAAGTTTTGGGTACCATTTCACAAAATGCAGTTTGGCAAAATTGCCTGATTTGTTTTTGTTTTTTTTTTTTTGTTTTTTTTTTGTTGTTGTTGTTGTTGTCGTCGTTCTTTTTTCGGTTTTATTTGTTGTGCACGATACATATTTTTAACGAAAGAAAGATACATGTATATATACTTTTCATACACGTTTTGCAGAAGCAAATTGAGATAAGAAAATGATAAATTACACATAAATTAAGCATGCTTTGAGGACCTTATACATGAAAAAAATATTCTATTTTGAATGCAGAACAGTCAAAACTAATTCGGTCTTACTTTATAGTTTAATTTTTCGTGAAAAAAAATACATAGAATGATAAATTCTGAAATTTATTTTTCACCTTATTTGGCAAAACATTTTTAAAAGCGATTTACAGAAGTATCGCTGTACTGCCTGATCCAGCTATTGACGGTAAGTTTTTGTTTGATCTACAGACATCTGATCTGATATTTGGTGAAAATTCAAAATACGCATAAACCTGATTATCAGCCGACTTCCTCAATCATATTCTGCATCAAATTATGATATCTAATATAGTTTTTCATCAACTGTAACTCAATCTTATGAAAAATGAACGCAATATCATCATAAACAAGAAATTAAAAAAAAGAAACAGGGAAGCTACGTGTTTGGAAATATAAACAGCTTTTTAAAAATAAAAATATAAAAAGGAATAAAGTTGAGTACCCTTATGTCCGGTGCTTTGACCCACAGGGAAGAATTAGGGGGTATAAGAAGGATCGTCCTTTGTGGTTAAATCATAGGTTTTCCCAAATTAAATCAAATTTCTTTAAAATGTTTACAATTCTAATTGTTCAGTCGTTTTGTATTTGATATACGCGTATTTCGGTCAACATAAACAAGTGGTTTACGTCCTAAAAGTGTCGTGCTGATCGATTTAAATACATGAAATTCTTTTTACATCAACAAGTATACCCTAATATAACCTCTTCAGGTTAATTAACTTAACTCAATTGAGTTTTTGCTATATTGCTTGAAATGTAATAATAAATCTTTAAAAGTTACTGGTTAAATTAGGATTCAAGATCAGCAGCTTAGTTAACCGACTGATCTTTTCCCTCCGAATAAACAATACAAACTGAGAGCAGAGCGAACACGACCTCTGATAGCTTGAGACAGAATCAGGTGCCATGTAGAAGTAAGAGTCCCCTGTCGATCGGTTACCTCAGCTGTGAGACCCTTGTCATGGGCGGGTAAACGGATTTATGGATAAGAATTTCATTTTGAAAAAAAAAGAAAGTTCAAACAATTTGTAATAGGTAGATTCCTTCTCGGATGATTTCATAACGATACCATCACTTTTTATGTTCAGTGATAATTTTATTATCGTCTGCAACACACTAACATATCTTTATCAAACTACTCAAATATATATTTAAAGCAGTATAGCCAACTTTTCTTTGGAATATGTTTGATGGTACTTTGTACATGTGCAGTTTCTATTCAAAATTTTCAATTTTACCCAGGGTGCCATCTCTTTTTTTTTTTTAAAATTACGAAAACCCGGTTCCTTAAACTCTTCTTCCATTTTTTTTTTTGTAGTAGCACGTTCATATTTTAGAATATGATTGGGAGTGCTCTGTTGGTGTGCAATAAGGTTTCAGAATGCCTATGTTTCATCCCTGGGATAAATTGTGGGGGAGGGGGTGGCAAAATTAAAAAAAACTAGTTCCCTGATCTCCTTTTACATTTTTAGTAACCCACCCATAGTTTGGAATATCACTGAAAGTCCTGTAGATGCGCAGGTTTTAAAATTCTTTAAATATTTTCATCCTTGGGGTAAAATTGTGAGGGGGGGGGGCAAAATATTTTGGTTTAATTAAAACCTTGTTCCTTGGACCTCTCTTATATTTTTCTTATTAGCCCATTCATGTATCGGAATATAAGTACTGACGACTAAAGGGAAGGGGAGTTTCATAACTGATAAAAAGACTGAAGTACATTGGATGGGAGATTTTTTTCCTGAGAACAGCAGGAAATTTTCAATTAGATGCCGGTTGCGTTGCCCCCCCCCCCCCCCCCCCCCCCCCCCCCCTTATTGCTGTAAGATCGATCACTGGCAAATTCCAGGAGTTGAAAAAATGTTCCATGAATAAGAAAAAGTTGAACCAACCAAGCCCCCAACGGAATAAGATTTACCCAGCTTAAGGGTTTTTTTCTGGGTGGGGGGGGGGTCAGAATTTCGTTGGGACGTTTCCCCTCCTACTGGCCTGATATACATTAAATAAAAGATCTACCAACCATAGGATCATCTGAACATTTAATGCTCAATGTGATATACGTATACTAGTATACTGTGAACTCAAATATGAAGGAGAGTTTGTTTAGAGCCCTACACGTGGTAATTAACAACAACCCCCCCCCCACCCCCTCTTAAAAAAATAGTATTTTATGTACGTCTTTTTCCCTTGAGGTAAAGATTTTCATCACTTTTCAAAGCGAATAGAAAAATTTCTAATGACTAAAGCTTGATCCGAGTTGTGTTTCAAAAGACATTTCTGAGACTTGTCTAATCATAAGTGCCTAATTTATAAGGATGGGACTCCAAAAATTCTAATAGATTCTAATAAGTCGTCGTAAAGTTCTGACATATTTCAGACTCACCTAATTCTAGTGTGTTGTCCTGTGTCATTAGCGGTGTTTGGGAGTGGATCAGATTATCTAAGGCGTCGTGTGTGGGGTCTCCCGGCATCCTCCCGGATCTGTAGTGTTATTCTATAAAAATATCACTTGTAAAATATCGAATGGTAGCTTATAATTCAACATAATCTTTTTAATTAAATTTTATTTTGACTAAGATTTAAATGCTTCTGGTTGAAGGTGCAGTGGCCAGAAAGAGACACCTTTTAAAAATACAACATGTATAGGCATCAATGCTTCTTTATTAGTTTGAAACTTTTTAATGCTCTTTTTTAAAATCAAGTATTAAAAGCATTTTTAACTTCCAAGTCTAATGGGCCTTCTTTACAGAGAATATACTACTCGAATACGATAGTAGCTGGTGGGCAACAAGTTTTCAAAACATGCTGATGTTTACGTTGTTTTGATAATGATTCCACAAAGACCCATGAAAATACAAGAAAACAGTACTCTGAACATGAGGTGTTTTGTAATGAACAGAATTTATCATATCAAAACTGACTGACGTTTTTCCATTATTTATTATTACACTGAATTGTCGTCGGATTTTTCTGTTATTTCCCGATCATGATAAGGAGCATACACAGCGGGCGTGACTGGTCGGCTGGGGATGCTCATTCCTCCAGGCAACTAACTCCTGTAATCCCACCTCTGATGTTTAAGACGTCCGCTTTTGCGCTACCTTCCACTGATTGATTGATTGTATATTGTTTAACGCTGAGTCGGCAATTGTTCAGCCATATTTCGGCGGCGCTACCTTCGAACTGTATTGATTAAGTGGAGTTTTGAACCTGAATTTTGTTCGTTATCTTCATATATTTCACTTGACTATAGATATATACTGAGAAAGAAATCAAATAGTATCCATTTATTTTTTGATTGACTTCCGACTGAAAATACAGCGTGTCCCTCGGTTCTGTTCTAAAAGAGGAAAAATTGACTGCACATAATGCATACCCTTAAAGATACGGTGTTAATGATGTTGATTGCACCCCCCCCCCCCCCCCACAGATCCTTTCTTGTCTGGGTTAAATTCTGTTTCTATTATGTCAATATTTAATTTCTTGTAAACTTGTGAAAAACTGCCTTCTTCTGGCACTCTCATAACATGTTGGAAGCGGAGGTAGTTGCATTTGGGTATGATAACCAATCCTCAAACTTCCGCCAGAGTTCGCTTGTACCAAACTCTATACGGAGACTCAGGGGAAGCTGAATAGTTTGAAATGACCACGAAACGTGTGCCTGTAATGGTATCAAATTATCCAAAGTCCTCTCACTTCATGTTTGGCTTTATATTTTTTCAGTTACTCATTCGCCAAAAGAAAAACATCTACACTCGATCCGCGTTATGTAAAGGTGTTTCCCCGAGCTAAAACATGACCACTCTACACGGATGTTTGTTTAGTTTTGTATAAAGATATTTATAAATTCATTAATTTAAAGGATATCTTGTTTTATTTAAAAAAGCATTTTTGTACGAGATGAAAATAGTTTTCATTAGAAGTCTCACTTTAAACATTAACTAAATTATCCACGAAAGTGAGTTGAAAATAGTGTACCCATAAAATTATTTTTTATAAAGAAATGAAAAAAGTACCTTTCTTGATCGGTGGTTTGATATATTGAAGCTGCAGTCTTTTTTCAATCATATTTCATGCAAGGGTTAAATAGAGAGGAATGATTTTGCATGTTCTCATAAGTGACTTTGCAAATTAAGCACCAAAGTTTATATTTTAGAAAAAGTCGTGAATTAGAACAAACTTTTGTTGCACAAAAAATGTATCAAAATTGTTGGTAAGGAATGACCGCAAAGTAGTTTGTTTTTATATGTTTTAAAAAGTAATAACACACGTAAATAGACTTGAACATAAAAATGTTCATCAAATCCCACTAATCTTCTCAGCATAAGCGCTGTCCTATGGAATCCGGATAGGGCCACGCAGTTCACTATCGCACCATCGAACATCAACTTAAAGGTCGATGGCGCGATAATGCGATGGCGCGATAACGATGAAACGGTGGTGCGATAACGATGAAGCGATGATGCGATAGCGCGATGACGATGATGCTATGGCGCGATAATGCGATGGCGATGGTGCGATAGCACGATTGAGCGATAGTGAATATCGCTTCATCGCCATCGTACTATCGCACCATCGTCATCGCATCATCGTGTCATCACTATCGCACCATCGCCTCATCGTACCATCGCGTCATCGCATTATCGCACCATCGTCATCGCATTGTCGCGCCATAGCATCATCGTCATCGTGCTATCGCACCATCACTTCATCGCTATCGCACCATCGCCTCATCGTCATCGCATTATCTCTTCATCGCACTATCGACCTAATCCTCGATGGTGCGATGATGCGATAGTGAACTGCGTGGCCCTATCCGGATTCCATACTGTCCTGTGGTTCTTAGTTGTATAATTAGCTCATCGGGATCGGGATGTAAAAAACGGAAGCAAGTGCTCCAAGAACGATAACTACTATTATCCTTAGAAACGTAAACAGTAATGTCGACGATGGAGAGTGCGATAGAAGATTTAAAGGACGACAATGTTCCGCCCTGTTTATACTGGTCTGTGGAGAAAGTGGCAGAGTGGATAGAGAAAATAGGATTCCCTAATTACACAGTATGGCTAAAAATGATTTAGTAAAGCTTTTACACTGACAAAGTTAACGTAAGGAAAAGTAGGATATATTTAATATATTTAATATCAAATATTTAGATATTGTGATCATTTTGGTTGGGTTAAACTCATATAAGCAAGACTTGTCACCAGAGACATATATGTCTCTGTTGTCACCAAAGTTACATACGGTGGAATCTATCTTTTTTTAACCCAAATTTTGCTTTTATTTTAAAAGTAAGTCAGTGTGATACAGGAGTGCTGTTATATCTGTTTATCAGATTAATTTTAATCTGGTCATTGCTTTCTAGTCTTGCATCACCACAAATCTTATTGATGGGAGGAAACTAATAACCCTAGAGGCCTCACAACTACCCAATATTGGAATCACAGACTTTCAACATATCAAGGTAAACAACATATCCTTGCTACTCAAGATTAAGATTTAAGAGTTTATTTTCTGTATCACTTATATATATGCACTTCATTTCAGGCGGGTTTATTCTGTCAGTTGTGTTTTCTGTGTTAGTCTAAATATACACTCGTTAAAATAAAAAAATGCTGAAATTAGCATTTATTCCCGGGTGTACCTCTCTTCATACTTGATTTTATTAAAAACATCTATATTTTTAAAATCCTACTGGAGTCAGCTTAGACCTAGCTTCATAAATAATTGACTCTCTTTTTTAATCTGTTGATTTGAACTTTCCACATAAATCATAAAGTAAACACGAAAGTGTGGAGGCATTGCAAAATTGCATAGAAAATCTAGAGAGAAAAAAATTGGCATGGTCTCCAATCTCTTTAAACTTTCCATGCAATTCTGGAATACTGTGTACTTCTAAACTTTACATAGATAGAATCCTCACTTCCATTGCTATCAGTGTGAGTGGTTTGTTTCAAGTACACTTTGTTTACTGCATAGACAATAGACCTTTGATTAGAAAACCCTCACTTGAGCTTTTGGCTCAGGTGCTCCAAGAAATGATTAAATATTCACAAACTGTCAGTGGCACATTACTGTTTTGAATCTTTTCCAAACTCAGGTGCCAACCAGTATAAATCCTTATGTTTTCTGGCACTTAGACCATAACATACTTTTAATGAAATAGGTGTGTATAGTTTCATTACTTCCAGTGGTGCTTATTTTTCAGACCATTACTAAAGCCGTCCGAGAACTTCTATTTATAGAAGATCCAGACTGGAAAAGAAGCATATCCCTTCCTCCACGTGAAGACCTAGGTATGTTAGGCCATAGACTTCTGTATCTGAACTGTGCACAATTTAATTTTCTTTTTATGGTCAAAACATGACTTCACAGTCTCAGTGAAGTTGAAAACTTGATTTTATTTTATACAATACTATAGACATCTACGTCTCTATTTCCTTTTATCATCAGTAGTTTACTTATAAGGAAGTACATGATATTTTCTTTTCATAAGAAGATTATTATTTTTTTTCTTTTAACTTTCAGGAATGTATCTTGAGAGAAAAAGTCATAATGGAAAAAACCTTGATGGGCTGACATACAAGTCATTTTTACTGAATTTAAAAGACTCGAAATGGCAACCACCACTAGCCAATCACTGTTTAATTCTTCCTCGCTCATAACACGTCATGTGAAGATTCCACAACAGGAACGAAATGTACCTGAGGTGTACTCAGCTCTGTAGTTCTACTGATGTGATCAAAAATATCTACTGCTGATAAACACGTATATACATGTACAAGTATTAAGGTGCTTTTAAAACAGCATTCTTAGAGTGTGTCCAAAAATTTCTACACATTTGAAACTGCATGTATTTGCACTTGTTTACAAGAAATAATATGCAAAAAAACATTACAGCATGAAAATATTTGTCTTCACTTTTTTGGTGGATCTTAACTCTTTTACAACATTTATCTTATCGTATCCGAAAGTTAGGTAACTTTATTTCTTAATGTGATAATAAGAGTAAACTTAAATCTGCCTATCATTTCATTAGGTGATATAAGCTAAGCTTACTTTGGAGCCAATATCAAAGGACATTTTTAGTTTTATACATCCAATTCTTGGTACACTGTACACATAAATGCTTGCCTCAATTGAATTATAAAACAAGAAAACACAGTATAAAATGTGCATTATTTTACTATTCTACACCACATCAGCATCAAAAGTTGTGCCTTCTTAAATGTCCACTGTGTCAACAATCACCTCATTGTTGTATTTACCTGAAACAAATCATGCCAATAAAATGTTATCATTTTAGTGCTTTGATTTATTTGTACATGTAATAATTGAATTTCATACTCCCTGCTTCTTTTTAGTGAGTACACTCGGTAAGACCTACCCATGGTGTTGAGTTTTGTTTGAGTGAGTACACTCGGTATGACCTACCCATGGTGTTGAGTTTTGTTTGAGTGAGTACATTCGGTATGACCTACCCATGGTGTTGAGTTTTGTTTGAGTGAGTACACTCAGTATGACCTACCCATGGTGTTGAGTTTTGTTTGAGTGAGTACACTCGGTATGACCTACCCATGGTATTGAGTTGTTGGCCCGGCCCCACCAGACAGTTGCTGATCTCACATTTATCTCGGATGACACCCCTCCTGCTTATGATGCTTCCCTGTATATTGCAGCTGAAAAATAAATAAACGTTTAACACTTTGTGCTCCTATGATTCTCTATTTTGTGTATAATGCCAAGTTATGTCATAAATTAGTAATACAGTGTACATGTATCAATTCCAACTTTTAAGTTCCCATCTCTTACATGTACATGTACCGTAACTGTATAATGTATACAACTAGGGGTATTAAAATGATTGTACTATACAGGGGGATTACAAGAATTACTGCAAGTTAGAATGTACATGTATCATCATTTTCTCTGCAGTAAAGGGGATGGTACTTGGGAAAATAATCTGCTCCATAAACTTTAACTTGGGGAGCCAAGGGTATGACATTTGCTCCTCCAACTTCATGGAGATGAAATAAAAATTACCCTCTCCAGTCTCCAGACAATCTTTGTCAGAATCACACTGTTTTATAGGTAAACAATACAACTAGTAAGAGCTTTTATTATTATAATCAGTTTCTCCAACTGATTAAATATTCTTACTTTTAACAGAAGAAGTACCATCCTGCTAACTTGTATTCAAAACAGGCTTATTTTATGAAAAAAAAAAATTATTGTCTAGTTATTATTCTTTGCTTCAACACTGTAATAATGGTATGATGCTTCAAGCAATACTAGTTTTCATAAATTCCATAATGAATTTATGAGCAAACACCCTTCAGAATTAAGAATGTGTTCAAAAATTTTATTTTAAAAAATTCATAATGACTTTTTCTCTAATTATTTTTCAGTCCCTGAAGAAAAATATCAAATATCCTCTGGCAGAAATTGTTCTCATTTAATGAAAAGTGTATGTCAATGACCATTTATCAGTACTTCATTGCCAATACAGACAAGCGTAGCGAACCTTTTTTCATCACCCATCTCACAAATATATACATGTACTGATTACAAAAAAATCTATGATCATTAATATAATTAGCATGCTTTTGTTATTATTCTTCAATCAACTCACCCCTCCTCAATGACAACATTATCCAGTATTGTGGAATTAGCGATTCGGACACGGTCCCCGATCTTACAATGTCGCCCAATCACAGAACGTTTTATAGAAACCTTCTCTCCAATTTGTGTACCCTCAGCAACCAAGCAGTCCGATCCTACCTGTAAAACAAGTAAACAGAGTACTCATAGGAAGACTGTACCAGAATATAATAATATATCATAAGTATATATATAATAAGTAATTTTATGTGGGTTCCTGATTATTCATTAGCTCTGAAATAAGCTTATCATCTTGAAGGCAAAAAGATAAAATTTGGCTTAAACAGTCAATGACATTTGCCTTTCTTTTCCCACTGTCCTGTTAGGGTAAAGTGCTGTATCTGAATACCTAATTTTGACCTACTTGAGATTTTTCTGCCATGTTCACAGAAGCATGTAGATGTGGGACCTCTTTCTCAATCCCAGTGTGTGTGAAGATCTTTTGTATCTGAAGAAAACAGGACAAGTTAGGTAACAAGATAAGTAATGCTACAGAGTCAGATCCAGTGGGTAATTATGACATACCTGACGATTAGCTTCACTATACGATGATATGGTATTCACTCGCAAACATAACCCTCCATCTTGAATGTAACCATAACAACGGATTTTGTCTCCATGGTAACAGTCTGCCATGTCTCCATGGTGATCATTCCAAGATGACATATCTCTAATATCAGCGGCATACTCCTCCTCAGAAGAAAACTTCAATATGTCTGCCAAAATCAATTTTAATAAATGCTTTTTTTTGACATTACAAATTCATTTTTTTTTCTAAATTACTACTGATAATAATGATGCTTACTCATTTTCTGGGTGTCTGAAATGACAGACTGGTTGGCCTGAGGTAATTTGTCCTTGACCTTTGCCTTAGTGAACTGTTTTCTGACTAGGTGGGGAATTAATTCTGTCCTTATGTAGGCTAATGACCTAAAGGCAAAAAGAAAATATGATCTCTTCATATTCAAATTGGTCTCCTCTGATACTGTAGGTCTAAACATCTAATAAAAACAGAGATATATCTATTACAGCTTACTCGTTTTCTGCTAGGTAATCAACGACCCATTTCTTCATTAAATAGAGGTGACAGTCTGTTAGTCCAGACTTAATACACATGTAAGGATGTCTGTCAAGAAAAAAATATTCTAAATATTAATACCCTGCACAAATATCAGTACCTTTACATTTTACTTAACTTTTATACAAAATAGGACCTAGCTTGCTTACTTCTTTAAAACAGACTTTTTGACACTAATGGTTTCATCAACATCTGCCTCTGACTGTGTGAATAGTATCCTTTCACCCTTTTCATCAAATCCAAAAAAGTCCTTTTCTAGGGAAAAAAAACCACACACACAAAAGTTGATAAAAATCAATAATTTAAATGATATTACGAAGTTAGTGTCTTGAAATTTCACCATCAAATAGAGATTATCTTCAGACTACTATCAATTTATGAGGAAATATTATCTTCAGATGTTATTTTTTGGGATCTTGTTCTTAATGCCAACATCCCCTAAAACTTCTCTCACCCAGCTGTTTCTTAGATTTGGCTCCTGGGGCCACTGCATCGTAGTACTGAGATGGGAGCGGGGATAGAAGCATGGTCAGTGATGCATCATGGGTACGGTGGAGATTGGCAATGTTGTGGAGAGAGATGTCGGTAATTAGGTCACAGCTAATAATCAGGAGGTCTGTCTAAAAATAGCAACAGTTGACTTAAGTTAAAAATAGAATCAGTAAACTGAGCAAAACCTCTCAGTAGAACTCTGAATTTTTTTTACAGGTACATTCAAATTCAGGATTTCAGGAAAAAATTACAAATAAAAGCATAACTCTTACTGTATGCAATCAATATTTATACTTTAGAAATGGAAATATTGTGTGTGGGTACACCACATCAACAATTCCATACATGTTAACCTATTGTGATGAAAAAGAGGGAGATTCAGACCTCAAAAGAGGTAGCATTGCGCGCGTGTTGTTTAACGCTTGGATTATCGATATCTTTCATGTAATATACATGTATATTATAAGCCTTAAATGAAATCAAGTACCTATACTTATTAATCTTAAATATCAACAGCAAAGAAGAAAACAGAAACACCTTAAGTTTGACATAAATTGTACAAATTCAAATATTTTTCATGCTCATCATTTTGCTTGGATTGGCTTCTTTACTTAGCCTTTTGAAGAGTGATCTTTGCTGAAATAGCCTAAAAACAATAATTCTGAATGTTCATTCAGTTTTTAAACAAAACAAATGATGGCATGGTTTAATCTAGATCTAAAACAAGTTCGTTTCTTTCGTTATATAAATCAGATTTCCCGCAATGATCGAAAACGAAAGTAGAGATGTGCCACATGACTTGGTCAATCGAGTGATTTCTATTGACTTTATTGATAAAGTTGTGAGCTTCTGTTCCCTCAAAGACGATGTCAAATGTTTTCATCTAATTCTTAAAAGCTGTATCTCCTTTTTCATGGCAGGGATGTTGATTAATTTATCGTAACCAATGTAATCACTGGTAGTCTTATGTTGTTGTCGTTGTCAAATCCGTGCTTGAAATCTATGTACAAAAAAGCGTTTGTATGATTCCAAGTCAAATCACGCGATATCTACCGAGATTTTATGAGAGTGGCTTCCAAAATGGATACCCAAGCGAACCAAAAATACTTTAGACACAGCTTTTGTAGAAAAGCGGTAGATTTCTGAATGAAATCGGTAGGCGGGAGATGGAGTGAAAAAGCGGTAGACTCCCGCCTAAATCGGGAGAGTTAACATGTATGACAATTCCAAGAACAGTAACAAAATAACTAATCCTTTCTGTGAATTAAAAAACAAATCTATGATAACACTTTGTTATACTGGAATCACAAATTACACCCATTAATCAAATTATTTGCTTAAAATATTTATGTTAACACTACACACACATACTTGCAGTGTCACTTTCACACCAGTTCGACAGTCTATCAATTCAATAACATTGTAATTTTATTTACAAAATAATAATTAAGCCATTATATAAAGCAATAATTATCTTGATATGTAAGCAGTTTATACCTTGACTTTGTGTTTGATGTCTCTGAGAACATCTGCGGTTCCAACATCATGACTTGACACGGCGACATAGTCCAGGTGGAGCTTCACTGAGCAGCACTCAGTTAACATCCTCTGTATCTCTGGCTGGTCGTCAGAGTCCACCACAATAATCGCCTCTGTATCAGAATTTCAGTGTTAAAAAGGATGATATAGGACAGAAAAAGCACTAATTCATTTCATAACAAACTTTATAGAATACAATAATCCTTTTTAGGAAAAAATAATCAAAAAGCCAATATTATATTAAAACCAGAAGTATTGCTCAACTTAATTAAAGACATACAAGGAAATAATTTTATGCTTTAATAAAATTAAACCTTGAAGTCAAAATATTAAATTTTGCTGTAAATGTTAAGCAGTGCTCCTCCTCTACGTCACCAACCTTCAAATCCAGCCCTCTCCAGTATGTTTATTGGGTACCAAACCATTGGTCGATTTCCAACCAGCAAGGCAGCTTTAGGACATTTAGACGTGAGGTCTGACATTCTACTGCCAGGGCCAGCAGCCATGATAATCGGCTGAAACTCCATCACT